TCCTACCCTCCACTTACCCTCCTTCTGGTCTCTGTGTGCAGCCTCCTTAGAGAGACATGCTCTACCTGATACTCTGTGGTTCTGCCTCTGATAATCACTCCCTTTGAAATATAGGCATCCAAGTCTGTCCATCTGTCAGTGTGTGTATCATATGTATGTATAAACATTCATAAACACAGAGGAATTGGATATATATGTATCCATGAGGACAGGAGTCATTTTTATTTTAACATTATATTACATTGTCATTCAGAAATAGGTTATGAAGAAATAGGTTATGTCTATTAATTTATATTTGACCAAATTTGCTTCTAATTACTGTTATGCTTTTGTCCATCCAATTAATCTAAGTTCAGCAAAAACCTACTGATGAATAAAATAAGATTTCTCGATCCATTGCAAACAGGGGAATGAATACATGCCAGAGGGAACCATGGAGTGTCTCATCGAAACATGAAGATGTGGATCTAGCTTAGGATTTGTGGGGAGGATAGAGTCTAAATTGAATTAAAGTGAAGCAATGTTTTAATATACTTATTGCAAAGTAGGGCTGCATGTGGAGGATCCATACCAAGTCTAAGCCAGAAAGTACACACAGAGTCCTGCTTTCCGAGAAACTACAAAACAAACAGATGTGAAATGTTGAAACTGAAAATACTCAATCTGAGGTTCCACATTTGCATAGAAAATTGAGATTTACCTGGTTCAAAATGATTCGGAACCTCTGGGCAGAGTTCAGATGTTTCATCTTGCTGATGTGATTTCAAGTAACTAATTTCAGAGAGTCTATGGTTTTATAGAAACAAGTTTTTAGTGAGTAACAAAATAGGACTCACTCAACCAAGGCAGTAGTGCTAAATCATTAGAGTGTTTGTGAGTCCAGGGAGGAAATATTATTTTCCTGTTGCATTTACAACTGAATTGATGTGACTTTTCTGCAGGACAGAGCACAGGTTAACAGAGCAAGTCATTTTTATTCTCCCACTTCATACTCGGAGGGCAATTATTTTACAGTACAGTTGAACTTGGGGTCTTGTTAATGCCTCTCACGTCCTCTGTTTTGCAACTGCTCTTCTCAAAGCTCCTTTCACATCCTGGTTCCTCAGGCTGTAGATTAAGGGGTTGAGCATGGGTGTGACCACTGTGTAGAAGACTGCGATGACCTTGCCCCCAGCCCTGGAGGACTTGGACTGGGGTCTCATGTACATGAAGATGGCAGTTCCATAGAATAAGGCCACCACTGTCAGGTGGGAGGCACAGGTGGACAGTGCCTTGTACCTCCCAGAGGCTGAGCGCATTCTGAGAACAGAGAGAAGGATCCGGGCATAGGAAACAACAATGAGGAGGAAAGGGATGAAGACAATGACAATACTGAAGATGAAAACAACCAGCTCTGTGAGCGAGGTGTCCGTGCAAGCCAGCCTCAGGACAGAAGGCACCTCGCAGAAAAAGTGATTCAGGACATTGGGCCCACAGTAGGGCAAACTTAAGGTGAGGACATTGATTACCATGGAACTCAGGAAGCTACTGGACCAAGAAATGGCTGCCAGCTGGACACAGGTGTTCCGGTCCATAATGACAGTATAGTGAAGCGGATGACAAATGGCTACATATCTGTCATAAGCCATGACACCAAGGAGAACACATTCAATCATTCCAAAGGAGAGAGAGAAGTACATCTGTGTAGCACAGCTGGAGAAGGGGATGGTCCTCCTTCTCCCCACCATGTTGGATAGCATTTGTGGGACATTGGTGGATGTGTAGCAAATGTCTAGAAAGGACAAATTTGTGAGGAAGAAGTACATGGGCGTCTGGAGACGAGGTTCTATCTGGATAATGGTGATGATGATAATATTCCCAACCACTGTTAATAAATAGAAGAACAAGAATACAACAAAAAGAATGAGCTGTATCTTTGGCTCAGATGAAAGTCCTAGGAACACAAATTCAGTCACAGTGAAGTTTATTTTCATTTTATCCATTTTTTTTCAGGCCACCTTGCTTTCAAAGAATCATGAACGTGACTGAAGACAAAATTAAATTCCCCATATATCAGAGATTAAAAATGAAAGGTTTGAGAAAGTAAGGAGAATTCTTAGTCTGGGATTGAAACTTAAGGACCTGAGGTTTACTACAAATGGAAAGTTTTTCTTTGGGTTTTGAAAGCCATATTCTGGTGAGATGAGAGTATCAAATCCAAGTCTCATGGATGTTGGCAGATATTCTTGCCATTCTAGAAAAAATAGTTTTCTTTTGTTTGTTCATAATTATTCCAGGCACTAATCAGTCTTCAAAGCCTTACTCACATCTCACATCCTTCAAAACTTTCTCATTCCCTTTTCTATTTGCACCTAGAAATAGAGAAGCAACTTGCAACATTCAAGGAAACAACAACTAAAGCCATGGCCTCATGTGCCGTCCCAGTGATTGACAAGTAAACGCAGGACAGCAGCCTGAGCTGCATCTGTGTGGCCCTGAGGCACCTTCTTGGACTCAGGCAAACTGACCACCAGAAGAACAAAGACTGCCCACGAGCAAAACCAGACATTAGATGCACTCAGTGCCATTTCTCATCTTCCCCACGTTCATGCTATGTGATCTGAGACAGTACCTTCATAATTAAAATCAGAATAATAACAACCAATTTTGTGACAATTTTAAAGATTAAATGACATCAAATGTTTAAAGAATTTTAAACAATGTCTACACGAAGGAAGCATTCAGAAATAGCATCTGTAATTAATAATCCTAATAACAAAATCTGATAGTACAGTTATGTGAAATTCAATTCTCTAATAGTAGTCGTGTCAAAAAAATAAATATTAGCGGGAAGGATCCAGACAAGTTAAAGGTACTAAGTCTATTTACTGAGAGCTCCTTAGGTCCTTCCTGTATATATTTGCTCTTAGTTCATGCACAGCATTAATAAGTTCCATCAACTTTTTTTCTAGTTCCCAGCAGCTGAAATAGAAAGCTAGGGAATAATGAAGAAACCTAAATGTGGGCTCATCCACAAGAGAAAGAAGCAGCTGTTGATCATTCATTGATCCATTGATTCATTTCCTTTTTTTTCTTTCTTTATTTTTAGTTTTGTTTTCTTCCTTTCAAAACTACGTTTTTGGTGTTCTAGCACGTACCAGATGCTGGGTGTACACAGTGAACCCAGCAGACGTTCTTGATGCTCTCATAGGTCTTACTGCCCACGGAGAGTTGCAGTGAAGAAAACCAACTGGTTACTGAGGGATTAGGGCAACTTGCTCAGGAGGACATAATAAGTAGTTGCAGGTCAGGAAAAGAATACTTCATGAACAATGTCCTTTTCCAAATGATATCAACTCCGATTATTTCAGAAATTTTTTAAGTAATTTGATTTAAATCAAGATTTTCACATTAAATAATTTTGTGTATGGATGAATTAAATTATCTAAAGCATGCAGTCCAGGAATTAAAAAAAAAACTGATGTACCTGGAAAAAGAAGAGAGAAGTCAATCACAGTCTTGTTTTCACCAAAACAGCAGAAGAATTTCAGTTGCTAATAATTTATATTTGTGAGCTTTTAAGAGGTGATTAGAATAACAATAAATAATATTCACAGAGTGTTTCTGCATTGATAGCATGATGGCATGCAAAGAGGAGAACATGACTAGTGATGAAGCAGGACCTTTTCTGCCACTGGACAGTTTGGATACATTCCTGACTCCACAACTGAGAGATACAATTCTCACCACCAGTCTGTGCCTCATTCTCCTCATCTATACAAAGAGATCAAAAGCAGCACCCGCCTCACAGACTTGATGGAGGAATTAAATGAGATAATGCATGCAGAATACCTAAGACAGTTAGGCATAGATAATCATAATACCATATGATGCTCATTAGATGATTCTTGTTAAGTGTACAGAGCAAGGATTATTGCCAATTCTCCCCCAAATGGCAGAGACTAAGTCTTCAATACTTTAAATGCTCTGAGTTGAGTTCATTAAGTACTAAATGTATGCACAAGAACTTGCAACCCACCTGTAATAGTATATCTGTATTATATATGTGTGTGTATATGTATATATATGTATATATATATATATTGTATCATATATATGGTTATATATATAACATATATATAATCACATCATAAATAATGATCTTGTTTCTGTAGGCAAGCATATAGAAGAAACACTGCAAATAAAAAGGAACATATATATTTTGGTCAACTTCTGAACACTGTCTATATTTTGCAGATTTAAAATACTATAGTCTCTTAATGCCTCTGAATGCACAGTTGTCTCAGGAACATCTTTAGTTTCCTTATAGCTACAATCCAGTAGAGTGTATTCAATTGTCTATAGATTTTCAGGGCACGATTCTAATCCATGCCTATCAGCACACACAGAGTTGCGTATTCTTCATGAGGAGGGAGAAATGAACACAGTTCATGAAACCAATTTTAACACCCATTAATTTTAACATTTGGTGAATTTGGAGCAAACTTACCAAATTAAACATGGTGTTTCAGAAACCTGGGTGGTTTGTAATTACCTGCAGATTCTGTTCAGGCATCTCAATCAAGTAAGCATTCACCTAGCTCACTGCACACCCTCCATTTACCTCACGGGCAAAGGCACTGAATGTCAAATGCCTTCTTCATATTTGTCTGCCTGGAAAATTCCTAATTCTTTTATAAACTAATCCTGCATGACAGCCTCTTAGGAACTCGCACTAATCTCATTTACCTGCCTAAAAGTCTGTCTTTCCAGTTGACTTTGAGTATCTAGGAATGCTGTCATGTTTGTTTATGTTTCCCACCCTGAAGCACACGGTAAGCACTATCAAGCCTGCTAAAACTCGCATGAACCCCTATTTCTTACTTTCGAGTCTTGAGCTAAGATAAATGATTTCGTTCTTACAGTAGCTAGGATTTAGTCAAAATATACAAGTATACTTGTCAAGCAAAACCTTTTACTCCCTAATAGTCTCCCCCCCCCTAACCCCAAACAACAATGCCTCATGCTTAAAAGTCATCTAATTCAGTTTGAAAAGAAAAAAAGGAAAACATTTGATGTGGCTTCATATCAAGCAGGTACAATGTGTGGCTAACTTTCATGTTACATCAGATTATTTAGCATTATGTGGATGCAGCACCTTAAACATATTGTTACATAAATTTGACTATTTTACATAAATTCGACTGTGTAACATAAATTT